GCCTGCCCGTCCTGCCAGGCCTGCCCTTGACCCTTTGGTCTTGCTTCTCTCTTGCCTCTCAGGCCCAGTGGGAATGGTTACTTGTGCGTGCGGCCGACCATCCTGGGGGGGGCTGTTTCGGTCTCGCTGGCTGGGACCATGCACCCAGACGTTTGGTGAACCCGGGGAGGCCGCACCCGGAGCTGTGACGTGTTCATTTAGGGTCGTCTTTGCAGGCACAGCTCTGTCCACGCAGGAAAGACGAGGTGCCAAAGCCTCAGTGCAGGACTTGGAAAAATTCTTAAAAACTCTTAGTGATGAATGTTAAGGTGTAGAGTGCACTGTTTGCAGGGTGGGGGGCCGACAGCCCCTGGGGCGCGCGAGGGCCTGCTCAGCACGCCCGTCCGGCAGCTCTCTTGACCTCGGCTGGCCCCATGCTCCATGTCCGGGGCCACGCATCACAAGGGCCGCCGCGGCGGGAGGCCCCACCCACCACAGAAACCACTGCAGGCCGTTAGGCCTGGCTGGAAAGTGTGGTCGGTCACCTGGCGCGCCATGGGACGCACTCAGAGGATGTCAGTGCGTCATCCAGGCTGCCAAGGGTGTGACTGACCCTTGCTGCCTGTTGTATTTGGAGTTGGGGGCTGGGAGGGGGACCCTGTCTGCATTGTCTGCTGGTCCTGGACCCTCCTGTCGCAGGGACCCCACTCCCAGTGACCCAAATCTGTTCTTCCCAGTACCGCAAGCCTTTCAGAGGCTCCTTATCGCCGTCGGCTGAAGGCCGTGCTCTGAACCTGGCCTTCGAGGTCCTGTGGGCTCAGCCGTGTTGCAGGCATGCTTGGCCTCTCTCAGCTCTTCAGACACTGTCTTCCCCCCGGGCCCTGCCTCAGGCCGTCCCTCTGCTGGGCAGGTTGTCTCTCCTGGGGAGTCCCGGCCTTGCTCTGCCCCCCACCCTGAGCTGCTCCACAGCCGTCCTACCGCTGGTGCTCGTTATGTTTCTCTGTGTCCTGGCCTGTGGCCCCACCTCCCACGTGTGTCCCCGTGTGTCCCCAGCACTTCGTGCAGCACCGGGCGCATGCTGGGTGGCCCAGCGTACGCAGGGAGGGCCTGACCAGGGAAGGGCCCTGTACCTGCCGTGCCCTGTGGGAGCGGCCCGCAGTGCCATTTGCACTTGTGCTGTGCGGTCCCTGCCCAGAAACCCACAGCAAATAGTAGGCTCTTACACATAAAGGCATGCTGCTTGGAAGCACATGAGACCCAGACAGAAATATCATAGGATGTCAGTGTTCATCTGGTAAGATAGTGTTTTCTCTGCTGGTGCCTGGACGGCATGCTCGGCACGACCCTCAGGATTGATGTTGGGAGTCCTTGACTTCGTGGCCTGCTGGGATCGCTGCCCACACTTGAGAAGCACGCTCTGGAGGACCGCCCCGGCCGTGCAGCCTGGCATCGTCCTAATCACCTGTGTGCCCTCCCGTGCCCTCCACGCAGGATGGGGCTGAGGGTGCCCGCAGACCACAGCTGGCCGCTTGCTGCCATCAGGGGTGGGCGGCGGGTGGGGCCTCACGCACAAGGCTGTGGGGTGCCGTTGAGGGCGGAGCCAGTGGTCACTGCCCCCCCGCCCTGGGTGCACGGAGATGTGGAGGGGGACGCTCTGCAGGACGGCGGGTTTTGACTTAGGTCTTGAAGCGCGTGCGAGGCGGTGGCCGTGAGAACAGGGTTTCCCGAGTCCCCAGGTCCGTGTGCCAGGAGCCCAGGCACTGAGCGGAGGTGGAGCAGGGGCGGGGGCCCGGGGTGGGGGCCCAGGGTGGGGCCTGGATGCAGGGTGTGTCTGTCGGGCGTGGGGCACCAGCCCAGCTGCCCCTGCCTGGAGGTTCACCGCTGAGAGGATTTCCACTCCGATGGGGTTTTTGAGGTAGGACACGCTGTCGTAGATGTTGCTGTACGTGTCTCGAAGCGGAAGGATGGTGCACTCGTTTGTCCACGTGCGGTGGACGGGCAGTGGCAGAGGGCCTTTGTGACCACGTTCCCACGTCATTCTAGCGGCGGTGAAACCGCTTTAACCGTAGACATGAGGTTCCAGACTTGCGTGCCGGCCGGGCTTATGCAGGGACGAGGAAGGGTCTCCCGTGGCCACAGGGCTCCGTTTGCTCCGGCTGCTACAGCAAATTACCCCAAACGAGAGCCTGAAAGCAGCACAAATTCATTCTCCCACACTTGGAGCCAGAAGTCCAAAATCAGTGCTTGGGGCTACGGTCCGGGTGTTGGCCGGCTGGTCGCTCCCGGAGCCCCGGGGGGCCCATGTGGCCACCTCCTGCTCCTGGTGGCTGTGGCGGCCCCAGGGCTGTTGGCACGGCTCCCCGTCTCATCTACAGGCCCCTTCCGGTTATTTCTGCTTTTTATCACTTCCGAGAATGTTTCCTGATGGGCTTGTCTATTCCAAGAACTGATCTGTTATCGGGGGTGGGGCCCCTCCCCTCTGTTGGGGATGTGGCCTGTGTCTGTCGGACCCCTTGGGCATTGTAGATCTAGGTGGAGAAATTGATCTGAAATATGTACATTTGGGAACAGCTGTTGTGAATTACATCGATTGCAGGTGTTCACAGACAGTTGGGGCTGAGCACACAGCCCTCCGGGTGCTGGCGGCCGCCTGGGGGCCTCTCACTGTCCATTTCAGTCCCTTACTGAACCAAAGGGCAGTGCCTGGGGGACACAGAAGGCCGGCTCACAGTGGGGTCTTGGAAGAGCGAGCTCTGTCCGAGAAGGGCCCCAGGTCTCTGCTGGGAGGCCCCGTTTACGCGGCCGTGAGCTCAGTGGTGTGCGCAGGCCGCGTGCCCGGGTGCTGCCGGAGCAGGCAGGATGCATAGTTTGAGGAGGGCGTGCTCCGCGGCTTCCCTGATGCAGTCACAGGAGATCTGAGCCAGGGACAGGCTCTCTGGTGCTTCGGCTTACAGAGCTTGTGCTCCGAGCCTGGTCCTGTTTCCTCACCCGGGGCTTGGCGCGGGGTGCCTCCCTGCAGAGCAAGGGCGAGCTCGGTTGTGCACGCAGCCTTGCCACGGAGCAGAAACGGGGAATGTCCTGAATTGTGCAAAGAGCCGTTCTGTTCCGGCAGCGTCCACGGCCGTCCTTCCCGCCCTGCGGCTCCTTCCTGCACTCACCCCGTTAAGAACCTGGGCCGAGGGCTGTTAACCGCTCCAGGCCGTGGTGCCGCGCGTGAGGGACAGCCACTGAAGCCGCCGTGGGTGCCGTGTGCCCGCGCGCAGCCACCTCACGAGCCGGCGTGTCAAAGAAGGGAGCAAAGTGCATTGGGCGTGTGTGGGCGTGTCCGTTGTCTTCCTGCACAGCCGTGTAACCCTTGGAAAACGTCCTTGCTGGGTGACAGCAGGCATCGGCGAGGACACGCTAGCCGCGGGGGCCAGAGCCTTAGGGGACAAGCAGCAAGTGGATGGTGCCGGCCCCCTCGTGGTCCCGAGAAAAGGCACTGAGAGCACACGTGGTGGTTGTAGGTGCCGGGCCCCGGGGACTCACGCTACCGCGGAAGGCTGAGCGCGCCTGTCGGGATGCAGCGGCGGGAATGTCACGGGATTGCTGGTTTCCCTGCGGTCTTCGGTCTGAGTGCTTCAGTACGGTTCAAACCAGGCAAAACCCATCTGCTTGGCAAACACACCAGCATTGAGAAATGACCGTTGTCCGTGAGGCTGTGGTCGGTCTGCCTCCCACGGACCTGCGCCCCGCTCCGTCCTCCGCTCCGCATCCACCTCAGGGAACCCCACACAACGCACATTTCTCCCCGCTCTTCGTTTCAACCACGTCCCCAAGGTGTAATTTACCTGCAGGAAACTCACGCGTGTTCCGTGCACAGGCTAATGAACGTCGGAAGCCGAATGTGGTCATATAAACGCCTCTGTAACCGAGACACTGGGCGTTCCCGTCCCCCCGCGGCCGACTGCTCCCCTCGCCCCGGCCACCGCTGGCCCGCCCTCTGTGGCTGTCGCTTTGTGAACGTGGCCGTGCTGTGTGTGGTCCTTCATGGTTGTCTCCTAGAGAACCATCATCTTCGTGGCCCCTCTGGGCTGACAAGTGTTTCATGGTTCTTTCCCTTTGCTGCGGTGTGCATGGACGTGTCCCAGCTGGGCCACCCACTCCCACTCAGGGGACACGTTTGTGGCTGTGAGGAGTCAGGCAGCTGTGACTGTCCACGTGCAGGCCCCACGTGCACATGCGTGCTCTCATTCCTGTGGGGGAACCCCGGGCTGTGCAGGCTCAGCTGTGTGGGCCGCTGCGCGGTCTGTGCGTCCTGGTTCCTCCCGCAGCCTGCATGCCCGCCTCCTCACCCTGCCCTTCACGGAGGCGGCGGGCCCCTGCGTCCAGCGTTCTTAGTCTTGCACAGTGTGCACGCACGGCCTCGGTGACCACTGTTCCCGCAAAGGTTCGAAACACTGTCACGTTGCACACATCACTGTCCCATTTTCTTTCTTCGTTCAGCGGCGGACGTGGAGCAGGGGACAGAGCAGGGCGCAGTCCATCGCACAGAGGCTGTGGCTGGTGTGTTCACGGGGCAGGACTGTGTCTCAGGCTCGGTGCCTCCTGTGCTGGAGCGCTGGCCAGCACACGGTGGACTCTGGTGACGTGTGAATGGACAGATTCCCTTACATGGCGCCGTGGTGCTTGATCGGTCACATCTGTTCCCCTGTTGACGGCTGTTCGGCCGCCACGTGTACCTGGGTCCCACGTGAATGGCACAGTGGTGGGCACCCTCCTCCATGTCTCGTGCCCACACCCGGGAGTTTGTTTGGGACACGCAGGGTCTTGGGGTGGGGCCCCCTTCACCTGAACTGGTGTTGCCGATGGCCCCCCCGTGTGACTCCCGCCCGCAGCGCGAACCAGCGTCCCTCTCTACTCCCTCCCTGACATTCGACATTTGATGTTACCGTGTCTGTTAATTTTTGCTAGTCCTGTATACGTGAAATTACGTTTTATTTTACAGCGTCTTAAATAACTCGTCTCGTTTCTCCTAACAGAAATTCAATGTCATCTTTCCGTCCTGGGAGAGGACATGGCGACAGTCGGAAGAGTGTGTTTTATACCAATGAAGAGTGGGAGCTCTTAGACCCAAACCCTAAGGACCTGGAGGAGTCCATGGTGCAGGAGGAGAGGAAGAAGCCGGCCCCCGAAGGAAACAAAGGTACGGATGTGGTTCCTGCCGCCATCCTGCTCTGCGCAGCCCCCGCGGTACCAGGCTTTTTCTGGAAGCAGGAGGCGTGGGGGATGAACCCAGAGAGCGTGTGAGATGAGGCGTTACAAGAAACGACCGTCCAGCCCGTGACTCATAAGCTTTTTCGGGAGATAGAGCATCTAGAAGTCACAGTGCTCTTCACAGATATATAGATTTTTAAAAAATCCTTCTATTTACAGAAATCTGGAACGTAACGTAAAGTAGAACGTACAGGGTCATGGATCCCGGTGTAGCCTCAAGTGGCTCCCACGGTTTCAAACTTAGGGCCACTCTCTTCCTCCAAGCCTCCACCCCTTCCTGCGTTCCATGTCAGTGGGGTTGTTTTAAAGTAGATTCTAGACATCGATCCATTACATCTAAATTTTTTATTTCGTACGTATCTCTAGGAGATAACGACTCACGTTAAAACCTCATGGCGGCTTCGTTATTCTACCTAGAAACAGCGGCAATAAATAATAATCGAAGCCCCCTCTGGTTCCATAGCTGTGTGCTCACACCCCGCTCACGTGAGCGCTGATAAGGTCTGCAGGCGGGTTTCCTTGCTGATCTGCATTGGCCTCTTTGCCTCTGAAAAGCTCCCCATCCCTGTCTTCCCTTTTACTTGGCGTGACTGTGGCCAAGATGGTCTCTGCGCCGAGGATTTCCCACGCTCTGGAGTCCGGGTCCCTTCTTGCTCCTCGTGTGCCCCATATGTGGTCGCGGGCCGAGGCCTGCCCGGATGCAGGGCTGACTTAACCAGACGAGGATGCTCCGTGGTCGGGGCCTGGGGCTGTGCGCCCTCTGGCACCACGGCTGGAACACGTCGTGTCTGGTCCCCGCTGGTTTTGGGGAGGATCAGGGTTCAGGTGTCGTCAGCCTGACCCCGTCTGTGTGGCCACTCCTGATGCTCGTCTGGGGATCCACGAGGGAATATTGATGTTTTAATGTAAAAGGACAGTAATTTTGAAATTCTGCCTTGTGCTCGATTTGAGCACGGGCTGGTAGGAGGAGGCAGGATCGTAGGAAATCTATGAGGAGAGCAAGTATTTACTAAAGGAAGTACTTCTGTCCCCCGGGAGGAGGGCCTTGACTGGCTCTGCAGGGGAGCTTGCCTGCGTTCTCAGGGCTGAAGCGTGGGGCCTGCAGTCCCATGTGACGCGGGTCTGGCGTGCTGCACTCCCCGGTGAGGGCCCGCGGGAGTGCCTCCTGAGCAAGGGGCACTTGGGTTCTGGAGGAGGAACTGCGAGCTCGGTCAGGAAGGAAGGGTCTGCGAGGCTGAGCGGCTCGCGTGGGCCGGAAACCCCCTGGGCCAGACGACGCAGCCCCCCGTGGGGTCTGCGCACTCTGGTGGCGTGGGGTTGTGGACCCTTCCTGTACCAGCCACAAGCGTCAGCCCCCAGCTTGTCCCCATCACGCAGGGGGTGCGAACTGCTCTCCCTTCTGTTCCCCTGCGTTTAAGTGCACAAAGTTTCCCCCGCATCCGTCAGAAATGTGAAGGCGACGGGTTTTCACAGTGAATATAGCCATGTAGGCAGCACTTACTTCAAGAAACAGGACGGGGCCAGCCCTGTCCCCCGGCCCCGCCAGTCACCCACCCCTCCCAGGGCAGCCACTGTCCCCACTTAAGAGCTGGGAGTCACCTGTTCTCCAGCTTCATGGAATCCATATACTGTGTTCTAGTTCCCGTTGCCTCCTCATAGTTTGAGTATAAATCTGAATCCATCCGTATAAACATTTATTTGGACCCATCAGTATTTTAAAGGCCCATTTTTAAGGAAGAGAACGTAGTCATGCTTTGAAACACTTGTTCACAGTGAAGAAGACGTTTAGGGCGGGGCTTTGTTTTGTTTTCTTACTGAGAACAGATGAGCGAAGGGAGCCAAGGATCCCTGTGTCTGTGAGTCCCGCCCGGGAGCCTGCTGTCTGACTGCAGGCGGCGCCCCGGGGAAGAGGCTCCGTGTTTCTGGGACGCTGTGGGCACCTGGAACCACTGTGCTCTTCCTCAGCCTGTGTCTCTGTCCCCTTTGGTCCTGAAAGTGACCGAAATGGGAAACTGGGGAAGAGACCTGAGCTTCTGGAAAAAAGACGGCATCCCAGACGAGTCTTGAGTGAGGTGTCCTGCGGCCTTATCCTAAATTCCTCATCTGTTCCAGTGCACTCCGCCCATTTTCCCCGCATCCTAAGGCAGACGTTGAGCAATCACAGCCTGAACGTTTTCTTGAAAGGGACCACGTGACGAGAATCATAAGGAAGGATCCAGGGCGGGGGTATCGTCTTTGAGTCGGGCTCGGTTTTTGTCAAGAGCGAGCCAGGGCCCAGAGGCGTCCCCACTCCTGCCCATGCTCTCTGCACAGTGAACGCAGAACTTCCCCGAGGATGGCGGGTGGGAGTTTCCAGAAGAATGACTTGTCCTGCACTTAGAAAACAAGTTTTGTTTTTATGTAGGAGTAACTGGCTCAGGATTTCCCTTTGATTTTGGACGTATTCCCTACAAAGGAAAGCGCCCTTTGAAAGACATGATCGGATCATACAAAAACCGCCACGTCAGCGGTGACCCTTCGGCGGAGGGGGCACAGAGTGCTGGCGCCGTCAGCAAGCCCGCGTCCGAGATGCAGCTGCAGGTCCAGAGCCAGCAGGAAGAGCTGGACCGGCTGAAGAAAGACCTGTCCAGCCAGAAGGTAACCGTCCTTCTCACCCGCATGCGACCCCCTGCAGCCAGCCGGCCACGAGAGCACAGCCCGGGCCCCTGGATGTCTTCGTCCCCAGAGGGCTTTTCCCCAAAGCGTTGATAGAGGCGCCTGCGCCCCACTAGGTCACTTCTTCAGGGACGTCTGGATTTCCAGGGGGCGTGGGGACGCCGCCGGTGGGTCAGGGGAGGGTCTCGGCCACTGTGCCCACTCCCACCCCAGTGCGGCATCGGCCGAGTCCATGAACAGGAGGGAAAGGAGTCCCCACGTGGTGTCCGTTTCCCTCTGAGACCGAGGACGCCCCGTCGTTGGGCAGGTCGGAGCTGACCTTGGGGCTCCTGTTCTGCGCACGGATGTGCGTGTGATGGGGCTGCAGCGGACCGCACCGTGCGCATCCACGGTTTCCTGCTTCCTAGCATTGTTCTCTGCAGACGGGCTTGACGGAGTGCATGTTTCTTCCTCTCGCCTCCAAGACCCTGCAGGAGGAAGTCGGTGTGCGCGTGTCGGCCCCGCGCTGCCCCATGTCATGTTGTCACCGTCTCTGCTTCTCTCCTCCCGCCTCCCCTGTGGCAGGAGTTGGTACGGTTACTGCAACACACGGTCCGGTCCTCCCAGTACGACAAGTACTTCGCCAGCAGCCGGCTGTCTGCGGGTGTCCCGAAGGACACGCTTGACCTTCTGCACCGCAAGGACGACCAGATCCTGGGCCTCAGCGGCCAGCTGGAGCGGCTCTCCCTGGAGCGAGAGAGTCTGCAGCAGGAAGCCAGGACGCTCAAGAGCAAGGTGGGCGAGCTCAGTGAGCAGCTGGGGATGCTGGTGGAGACCATCCAGGCCAAGGACGAGGTCATCATCAAGCTCTCGCGCCAGCTCAGCGAGGGCGCGGACCACACACCCTCTGCCGCAGGGGTGCCCGGCTCCCCCACGCCCCCCAGCAGGGAGCACCTAGAGCTGGACAGGCTGAAAGTAAGTGGGGCGTGGGCTCGGTGGGGTTCAGACAGCGTTGCAGGCGGCCCCTCGATGCGTCCAGGGCTCCGGGCCTCGGCAGACGGAGCAGATGTAGCAGGACTTGAGGCAAACTATGGGTAGTTTGCTAAGAAGCGTCCTTGGAAAACAAAAGTGTTGAGTCCAGCAGTGCCGTTGGTCAGAGTGGTTCTGGAACTTCCCCTCCCTTGGGGAGGACTGCCTGCCTGAACTGCCTGCCCAGTCAGGCAGCTGAGACTCCCCTTTCTGCTCTACACCCCTGGAGCTTTGTTACCCCATGCATGAGTGTCCGGGCCAGCACCGCACTCGTGGCCTGCCTCAGCCCCCTGGGGGTAGGGGGAGCTGAGGGAGCATCGTTCCCGATGGCTGGTTTGGGGTTGGCTCCCAGGCAGGCTTGCTCAGAGTCGGGGCCCCTGCGCCCAGGCTGGGAGGGTCCTGGCGCTGAGGACAGGGGGGCTGCTTTCTGAACTCATGACTGTCCGGGTTGTAACTGAGGTGGGGAAGGGCTGTGCCGCTGGCCATGAGGCCGCAGAGAGGCGCTGAGTGTGGCCCAGCCCACCCCAGGCAGGTCTGTAGCCCCAGGCCCCACCCAGCCCTAACATGCTCCTCGCCTGGGCTACCCTCTTTGCATAAATACCTCGGCACCAGGGGTGTTTGGCTCCCAAGGGCAGGTTATCCTTGAAGGCAAAGATTTGCCACGTTGAGATTGTTAGTAAGCACCAACTGCATACCCAGCAGTACCTCTCCGGCTTGTCAGTGGAGAACTGAGTAGGGGGGAGGGGGGCCTCAGAATTTGGAACAGAAGTGAACACTGGGCTGACGGCAGCATCGTCGGGAGGTGTACGTGGCCTCCGTAGTCTACAACCAGTTCTCAGTGACAGGTGTGCACGTGTGAGTCCAGAAGGGTGACAGCAACAAAGCTCCCCACCCCATTCCTCTGTGATTCGACCACAAACAGCGGTGGTTGCACAAACCGTCGTGGTTGGTGTGGCTGGTAAGACTCAGCTCTGCTCGCATTCGCAGTCGAGCACACGCCCGACCTGGACGTCGCCGCGTCGGCGATGCGCGTTTGACCGCGGCTTAACGTCGACCGAAACTGGTATTTGGCGAGCATGCCTGTTTTGCGGTGTTTGTTTGCAGGCCTCGTGAGCGAGCTTGGCGTGTGCGGGAGCGAGCGGCTTGTCTCTGGTCCGCGGCAGCTCCCTGTGGAGACAGCAGATAGACTCGATCAGGATTAGACTTCCCCTCCTTATTTACCCTATAGATCTTGGGGCAAGACGGGTAGGGTGGTTTTGAATCATTGGGTGATTTCGTGACTTTTTTCCTCCAACACCTCTCAACAGTTTTTAAGGTCTGTGGCTCTGAAATCCCCCCGTGGTCAGGTGACGTGGGACAGAGCTCGTGGAGGAGGCGGCTGTTCAGGGGCCGGCGCGTGGCCGTGGGCTCCACGTGGGCCGACCGGCCGCCCCGAGGTTTCTGCCGCCGCCTGCACCAGACGCCCGCTCCCACCACAGGCTCCCGCGGCGGCTCCGCAGGAACTGAAAGCAGGCTTGCGGGCGGGGGGCTGCAGACGGAGGTGGGGTTTTGCCGCGTGTGTCCTTGCTGCCCCCACTTCTCGCAGCTGCACGGTTTCCATACTGATTTCTTGCCTTGACCCTGAGTTCAGAACACCCCCGCGGGGGGACACTGTGTTACTGGGGGGGGTCTCGTCCGTCACTGTCACAACCCACTTTCTCCGACTCCGGTCAGCGTGTGTGGCCTGTTTGGAATGTGCTGACACTCCTCGTCGGCTCCGGGACAGGGTCACTTTCTGTTTCTGGGGTATTCTGAGGAAGGAACACACACTGGTCGTAGGATTCTACCAGCGCAAGTACTTTACCGTTCTTGTACTTCCTTCCCGGCCTTTCCGTGGCTCTGTGATCTTCCTTGCTTGGCGTAGGTGGCCCTCTGCTTCACTGGGCACGGTCGGGCGGTCGTCGGGGCGCCGTCCCCACCTACCTGTGCAGCTGGTCTTCCTGGGACCTGCTCTCTGGCGCGGGCCTCCACGCCGGCAGCTTTTCCTCGTCCGGACTCCGGGTGCGCTCAGCCGCGTGCCAGGCTTTGCGCTGTGCTGGGAGTGCCCGGCGTCGCTGGCACGAAACACCCGGTCATGACCATGGGGAACACGGAGAGGAGCTCAGGCCCACCCGGCTCGGCTGCTCGCGAACCCCACCTGGGGGTCGGGACCCTTCCTGCCCCAGTGTGTTCATGTGTGAACCAGCCCTCCCCTTGCGGGTCTCGCGGGGGTCTCACGGGGTCTCGCGGGGTGGGGGGGAAAAAAAAAATCTCACGAGGTCTGGCGGGGTCTCACGGGGCCTCGCGGGTGTCTCACGAGGTCTGGTGGGCTCTGGCAGGAGTCTCACGGGGTCTGGCGGGGGGGGCGTCTCACGGGGTCTGGGGGGGTCTCGCGGGGGTCTTGCGGGGGGGTCTCATGAGGTCTGGCGGGGGTCTCGCGGGATCTGGCGGGGTCTCGCGAGGTCTGGCGGGGGTCTCACGAGGTCTGGCGGGGTCTCGCGGGATCTGGCGGGGGTCTCGCGGGATCTGGGGGGTCTCGCGGGGGTCTGGCGGGGTCTCACGAGGTCTGGGGGGGTCTCGCGGGGTCTGGTGGGTGTCTCACGAGGTATGGGGGGGGTCTCGCGAGGGTCTGGCGGGGGTCCCATGAGGTCTGGCGGGGTCTCGCGGGGTCTGGCGGCTGTCTCACGAGGTCTGGCAGGGTCTCGCGGAGTCTGGCGGGGTCTCGCGGGGGTCCCATGAGGTCTGGCGGGGTCTCGCGGGGTCTGGCGGCTGTCTCACGAGGTCTGGCGGGGTCTGGCGGGGTCTCGCGGGGGTCTGGCGGGGTCTGGCGGGGGTCCCATGAGGTCTGGCGGCTGTCTCACGAGGTCTGGCGGGGTCTGGCGGGGTCTCGCGGGGTCTGGCGGCTGTCTCACGAGGTCTGGCGGGGTCTCGCGGGGTCTCGCGGGGTCTGGCGGCTGTCTCACGAGGTCTGGCGGGGTCTGGCGGGGTCTCGTGGGGTCTCGCGGGATCTCGCGGGGTCTCGCGGGGTCTCGCGGGGTCGGGCGCTCGTAGGGGCTCCACTTGCGTGCTCGTCGTCGTCAGCCTAGGGAGGCTCCTCACGATGAGCAGTCACGCGGCACGTAACGGGAGGAGGACCCGCTTACTCTGCTCTCCCGCCATCGCCCAGCCGCCCGCGCCCCCCGCCCTCCTTCCGTCGGCCTGCTTCTCGTCGTGTGTTGGCGCTGCCAGGGAGCTTTCAGTCGCCGGGAGAGGGGAGGACGGAGGGGGGCGTCCAGGCTGCGTGGGGTTGGGCTGGGGTGTGTCGCAGGCCTGTCGCGACTTGCAGTCCTGCCGACACGGGAGGCGTGAGCGTATCCGCCGGGCGCGCTCAGCGGCCCAGAGCCTGGGGGCCCGGCTCTCAGGGGAGACGCGCGGATGGCGGCCCGAGGGCTCTCGCTCGCGGAGCCGTCCGGGGTCTCACGCGGCCCCTGTAGCCTGCAGCGCAAGCTTCCCGAGCGTTAGCGACCGCAGGGGCCGTGGAAACGTTGCCGTCCCTCTGCGTTTCAGGGTGATGGGGGGCCCCCGTCCCCACGGTGGCGTCCAGCCCGGAGACGAGGACGTGTCTCGAGGAGCGGCCATGGCCTCCGTCCCGCGAGGGTGGACGCTCCCGGCCGGGCCGGGAATTGCCCGGTGACCCGGGGGCCCCACAGAGCGGGGGGCGCACGCGGGCAGAGGACTGCGCTTGGCCGGCGAGTGCGCTTGTCCCGGACGCTTGCCCTCCTCGCGGGCCTTCACGGGACGCCGTCCTGCGTCACACGGCAGGTGCGGCAGATGTTAACAGCTGGTGAATTTTGGCGAAGGGCGTGTCAGGTGCCTTGTACTTTCCTGTCAGCTCTTCCGGAGTTCGAAATGTTTTTTGTTGTTTTTTGTTTTTTTTTTTTTTTAAAGATTATACTTATTTATTAGAGAGACAGTGAGAGAGGGAACACAAGCAGTGGGAGAGGGAGAGGCAGGCTTCCGGCCGAGCAGGGAGCCCGACGCGGGGCTCGATCCCAGGACCCTGGGACCATGACCTGAGCCGAAGGCAGACGCTTAACGACTGAGCCACCCAGGCGCCCCAGGGCACCAGTTAAATTTTATTTTTTATTTTAATTTTTTTAACTTTTTAAGATTTTATTTATTTGACAGAGAGCCAGCAAGAGAGGGAACACAAGCGGGAGTGGGAGAGGGAGAGGCAGGCTTCCGGCCGAGCAGGGAGCCCGACGCGGGGCTCGATCCCAGGACCCTGGGACCATGACCTGAGCCGAAGGCAGACGCTTAACGACTGAGCCACCCAGGCGCCCCAGGGCACCAGTTAAATTTTATTTTTTATTTTAATTTTTTTAACTTTTTAAGATTTTATTTATTTGACAGAGAGCCAGCAAGAGAGGGAACACAAGCGGGAGTGGGAGAGGGAGAAGCAGGCTTCCCGCCAAGCAGGGAGCCCAATGCGGGGCTCGATCCCAGGACCCCGGGACCATGACCTGAGCCGAAGGCAGACGCTTAACAACTAAGCCGCTGTTTCAACACACAAACGGGAGGAACGTGCTTCCTGGAGCGCGTTGTCCGCTACAGGTGGCAGGTGGGTTCTGTAGTCGAGCGCCGTGTGTGCACGAGGCCTTCGCTCCACCCTCAGTGACGGACGGCAAGAACCCCCAGAAAACGTGTTGTTTCTCGAGCTGCAGAAGAAACGATCACAAGGGTTTGTGCCACATCAGTGAGTGTGGGGACGTGACACTGCGCAGTGTGAGGATGTAATTCTGCGTGTTCCCTCAGCGCCCCAAGGCTGGCGGCGGAGACCATCAGGAAGTGCCCGGTGGTCGGTTCTTGAAGCTCATGCTAACTTGGGCTCTTTGCGGAGACGGTGATCTATTAACAGAGAGAGAGACCAGCATGAACTGATGGCTTTTTTTCCCCAACAGGATAACCTACAGGGGTATAAAACCCAGAATAAGTTTCTAAATAAGGAGATTTTGGAGCTCTCAGCACTGCGGAGAAACGCGGAAAGGAGGGAGCGGGATCTGATGGCCAAGGTGGGTCAGGGTACGGCTCTGTTTCCTGGTGGCCGGGGACGCCGAAGCTTTTAGAAGTGGGCACGTCGTAAACCAGCCCTGCCCCACACTGGGGGCGTGAGGTCACTGAACCGAAACACAGGGTGCAGAGCGCTGCGTACTCGGTGTTGCCGTGTCTGAGACGGAAGCGAGTAGAGGTGTCCTGATGTGTCGTCATCTGCACACGTCACGGGGTTTACGGAAAACCGTTCACTCTGACGCTCAGGTTCCCCAAACGAGGGGTGTTTGGATTATGATCTTGTCCCGTTGCGTTGTGTGGACCGGTTTCCCCTCAATAAACGGGGTCGCTGGGAACCTATTGGTTGCCTGTCTGTCGGCATTGTGGCCGGGACGCAGCGTTAGCACAGCTGCCGTCACCCGGTGGTGTCCGATGGCGCTCACGGTCCCCACTGTGTGTGCTCCGTGTCCCCCTGGAACCCAGCTCCCCGCGTCCTCCCGGACCTGCATCCGCGTGGCCCCAGGGTGTGTCTGATGAGGCGGCAGACGGGAGCTGGTCCCGGGGCACGGCGTCCCAGGAAATGTCAGTGCCGCGTGGGCACTTGCTCACAGCCCACGTGCTGGGTGACACTCAGCATGACCGCAGGGACGGCCACGCGGTCCTGTTCCTGCTGCTGCCTTTAGCCGTGAGGGAGTGATGTGGGTGTCGCTGGGCCAGCGCCCCGGCAGGAGGGGGCCCAGGGCAGCCACTGCGGACGCGGCAGGTGGCCTGGGGCAACGTGAATCTGCTGTCCTGCGTACGGTCCCTGGCTCACCTCCCCGTAGCCGGGGCTTGTCGTTCGTCGGCTGCTTGAGGCGCCAAGGGCTGCCGGTGCTGTGTCCTGGTCGGGGTGGAGGTGACCTCCCTGTTCTCTGTAGTATTCCAGCCTAGAGGCCAAGTTGTGCCAGATAGAAAGCAAGTACCTGATCCTGCTGCAAGAGATGAAGACGCCGGTTTGCTCGGAAGAACAGGGGCCTTCTCGTGACGTCATAGCTCAGCTGCTGGAGGACGCCCTGCAGGTCGAGGGCCCGGAGCAGGCGTTCGTGAAGCCTCATCTTGTCAGGTAAGGGCACTGGCGACTGCCGTGGGCGGTGGGACCCATTTCAACGATCGTTGTCGCTCACAGAGGACAGGATGCAAGTGTGTGTCCCATTGCACGCCCATCATCAGAACGGATGCTCTCGGCGTTCTCGCCATCATAAGCGTGCGGCAGAGCCAGGCTCAGGCCAGGTCGTTGAGTCCAGGACCTCCCTCCCGAGCGCGTCGGGGTCCACGGTTCCAGCCTCAGCTCCAGTCCTGCTGGGAGCCAGTCCCCCAGAGAGTAGGAGCCCCGTCCTGAGGCGCAGCTGCTCCCACCCGTGGTTCAAGAGCGGAGGGGCCCCCGCGTGGGGAGAAGGCTTGGCCAGCCCGGCACGGTGGCTCGGCGCCCCCCGAGGCTCTGACCCATGCCATGGATGCACACACTCCAGCAGAACCTGCCGTGTCAGCTCGCAGCATGTGAGCCTCGCCCCTGTTGAAGAGCGCTCCCTGAGGCCCGCGTGCCAGGAGCTGCGCCAGGGGCCCTACCTGCTGGCACATGTTGAGTGCTCCGTGGACGGGGAGGGACGCACAGCCCCCGAGTCGTGGGGACAGGACCCCATCCTGGGCGGCTGGCTTCCACGCTGCACTCTCCACAGGGCTGCGGGGCTGAGGGCTGCTCGTGAGGGCCTGTTTTCCTCCCGCGGGCACCTCTGGGCTCGTTCTGTTCACGTTGTTTCCAAACCTCGTGTGTAAGCAGAACGACAGCTGTGCGTATCGATGTATTTCTGACTCGTGGAAAACTTCAAGCGCGCAGAGTAGAGTCACGTGACGACCCCCCAGGCGACCCTTCTGTAATTACTGTCAGTCTGGTTGCACCTTCTCCTTCGCGCCCCCAGGGATTTTTCTGCAGTACTTCACAGCAGATGCCAAACATCGTGTTCTCCCATCTTAGGATGCTTCAGTGTGCGTTTCTAAGTCCTCACTGGAGACACCTTCTAAGACACGAATCCCACCATACTCGCAACTTTTCATCATTACCTCCTGAAATCTTCCAGGTGGATCCGTGTGGCCCCCGAGCTGCATTCCGCGGGCCTCATGCCCCCTTCACTGTCGGAGGTGCCCAAACCTCGGTGTCTCTGCTCCTTTTCCTCATGGTGGACACGCAGGGTCCTTCCACGTCCCCTTGTGATAGATGAGGCATAGTGAACGTAGGGATTTGTGCTTTCATGTGCCTGTGGGGGTGCGTCTCCAAGGTGTAGACGAGAAGCGGGATCCCCGGCCTGCAGGGAACACGTCTCTCCAGCCCCAGTAGGTTGGCACAGACGTGGCCGCTTACACACCACCCATTTGCTGTTTGAGCCTCTGCAGGCCGGCTGGCCGGCGGGCCTCCCTGGACATTCCAGGTGTCACAGGCACCGTGTGTCCTCACGCACTTGAGCTGTTCCCTGGGGTTGTAGAGTGAGGACTCTGTTTCCACGCTGGCGGTTGGGGTGGTCTTCCCGCTTCTGGAGGCCACAGGCCTCCTCCTTCCTTCCTCAGCCAGCAGCAGGGGGCCCCGCGGCCCACACGCCCGTGGTCTGCACGCCCGTGGTCCTGCCCTGCTCCTCCACCATGAATGGCCCTGTGTGTCTGCTGGCCCCCGACGGTCCGGGGTAGCCTCCCTGTCCCAGCTGAGTCAGCATGATGCTATACGATGTGGCCAGCCACAGGTGTGAGGAGCCATGGCTGAATGTCCTTGGGGCCACAGTCCTGCCTCCCACACCCACGTTGTCTTCGTCCCTAACGTCTATGCAAATACTTTCCCTTGCTTTTCCACGTTTTAAAATGATGCTTTCCAAACACGAAGTTACACGCACGGATGCGTATGATGTGTAAACACATGTTCACGTGGCCAGTTTACCAGGCGCATTTCCTTCTTCCGTGCTTTTCACACGTGGGGCTTTAAACCATCTGGAATCTGTTTTTATTTTAGTATCAAGAGATGGAATTTCATTTCCTCCCACTGAGCTAGCCACTTGTCCTGCCCCGGCTGTTGAGAAGTTTCTTCTTCCCTCACCGAGCTCCAACGCCTGGTCCCAGATCAAAGGGCCACGTATGCGTGGGCCAACGTGTTTTTGTGTTTGGTTGGTGTTTTTGTCAGAATCCTGTCATTCAATTTTTCCTTTGTTTTTCTCAACAGTGAGTATGATATCTACGGATTTAGGACCGTCCCAGAGGATGACGAGGAGGAGAAGCTGGTGGCCAAGGTCCGAGCGCTGGACCTGAAGACCCTGTATCTCACAGAAAACCAGGAGGTGTCCACCGGCGTCAAGTGGGAAAACTACTTTGCGAGCACGATGAACAGAGAGATGGTGTGCTCCCCGGAGCTGAAGAACCTGATCCGGGCAGGCATCCCCCATGAGCACCGTTCCAAGGTGTGGAAATGGTGCGTGGACCTCCACACCAGGAAGTTCAAGGACAGCACCGAGCCTGGGTACTTCCAGACGCTGCTCCGGAAGGCGCTGGAGAAACAGAACCCGGCCTCCAAGCAGATCGAGCTGGACCTGTTGCGGACTCTGCCCACCAACAAGCATTACTCCTGCCCCACCTCAGAGGGCATCCAGAAGCTCCGCAACGTCCTGCTGGCCTTCTCCTGGAGGAACCCGGATATCGGCTACTGCCAGGGTCTGAACAGGTGGGTCTGAGCAGGTGGGTGCCCGGCCTGGCCGCGCCCCTGTCTGCCTGACCATCCCCTCCCCTCCTGCCTAGCTGAGGAAGGCCAGCATCGTTGGGCAGGGTTGCCGTCAGCTAGGCTTAATTATGCGGCATCCCCTGTTCTGGAGTAATTGAGAGAAACAAACAGGCTTTCAGAAAGTATCAAGAACGCCAAACGGGCGCCTGGCTGGCTTTCAGTGGAGCGCGCGACTGTTGATCTTGGGGTTGTGAGTTCGAGCCCCACGTTGAGTATAGAGACTACTTAAAAGTAAAATCTTTAAAAACACCACCACCACCATCAAATGTTATCTGAAACAACTAGGTTTTTTCATTTTGATTTCTTACTACTTTTGTCATGTTCCGGTTTTGACCAGAAGTTTGATGCCATTATAAGTTTATTTATTTATTTATTTTAAAGATTTTATTTATTCACTTGACAGAGAGAGACACAGCGAGAGAGGGAACACAAGCAGGGGGAGTGGGAGAGGGAGAAGCAGGCTTCCCGCGGAGCAGGGAGCCCGATGTGGGGCTCAATCCCAGGACCCTGGGATCATGACCTGAGCCGAAGGCAGACGCTTAACGACTGAGCCACCCAGGCGCCCTTAAAATGACATTTTATTTATTTATTTTTTAAGATTTTATTTATTTATTTGACCGAGAACACAGCGAGAGAGGGAACACAAGCAGGGGGAGTGGGAGAGGGAGAAGCGGGCTTCCCGCGGAGCAGGGAGCCCTATGTGGGGCTCCATCCCAGGACCTCGGGATCATGACCTGAGCCGAAGGCAGACGCTTAACGACTGAGCCACCCAGGCACCCCAACAAAGACATAGATTTAAAAAGATATATTACTGGGGCACCTGGGGGGCCCAGTTGGTTAAGCGTCTGACTCTTAGATTCAGCTCAGGTCATGATCCCAGGGTTGTGAGATCGAGCCCCAAGTTCGGCTCCGTGCTCAGCTTGGGGTCTTTTTTAAAATTTTTTTAAGATTTTATTTATTTGACAGAGAAAGAGACAGCTAGAGAGGGAACACAAGGAGGGGGAGAGGGAGAAGCAGGCTTCCCGCTGAGCAGGGAGCCCATCGTGGGGCTCGATCCCAGGACCTGGGATCATGACCTGAGCCGAAGGCAGACGCTTAATGACTGAGCCACCCAGGCGCCTCTATACTTAAACTTTATATAATTTGGTGTTTATAATACACGAGGCGGACAGTGGTGGCCGCTCCTTGTTTATACCTGATCTTCGGGAATCAGGGAGCTGCCCCACCCGGCTCTGCAGCTGGCTGAACCCAGGCCCTTTTGGACCCGAGTCTTTCTGTGGGTGTCACGAGCGCTTCTGTAGATGGGGGACGCTGGACAGCCTGTCACTTTTCGTGATGACTCAGGCTGCTCATTCGGAGCCGGGCCAGGGGGACGAGGCCCCAGGAGGCCCCGGGGTCTGTGTGGCATGGACTGCGCGTGGCTGCTTGGTGCCCACGTGTCCAGCCCACACGCCTCCTGCTCATGCTGGTGTTGCATGTGTCCGCTTAGGTTCTCTCTGTGCAGGGAGCGTGGGCCACCAGGCTGTTAGCGGTTCAGACAAAGAAGGAAGAAGCTATGTGCACGCTCTTTAGGGATTTTCCCAGGAGCCCAAGTGCTTGCCTTGAGTTTTGAATGCTGAGGTTTATTCTGGAGGCTCAGTGGCCTTTTAAATCCTCCTCCACCAGCTACAGACCTCCAGGAAGGACCGTCTGTTTGCATCTGAAATGTGTGTTGCAGGAAGGAAGGGTTTCGGGTGGAATGTCCAAACCACACTTCTGGGAAGTCACCCGCCTCCGTGGTGCTGAGGATGGGGCAGCCCCTCTGAGCCCCGGAAGTGAGAGGGATTTTGGCTGCCCCTCCACGGCCCCCATTAAAAAAACAAAAAGCAAGCCTGTTAATAGGATGCTGCCAAACGAAGCAGTCTTGTTTTGCTTAAATCCACAATTCACATTGAATGCTCAGCCTGAAAATTTCCAGAAGCCAAACACTTCTAAAGCCCAAAAGATCTGGCGGGGACCTGTGCATGTCTGTTTGGGGGGACACTAGCACCCTGTTTATCTGGCATGGTCACGGAACCCGTTCTTCCCCACAAAAGTAAGACTTCCAGAAGATGAAACTTTCCACCTGCATCCCCATCACCTTTAGGGCCTCTTATTTTTAACCATTTTACTGGATTTATTTTTTTTCCAAATATTTTACGTGTGTGTCCTGAAAACTCAGAACTGCCTAAGGGGAGCCAAGCCTGGGATCCCGGGACAGGTCACCTCTTGATTGGTGATCCCGTCTCGGCCGGGCCCGGGTTTCCGATATGAACACCCGAACAGTGGAAGCGACACCTCTCTCCCCCCACGTGCCCGCTGTGGAGATGGTTCCTCCCGAGAGCCCCTCAGAGCGGTTGTTTGTAAACCATCTTAATTCTTCGTGTCTTACACTCACCCCTGGGTTTTTTGTACTTGGAAGGATTAGCTGCATTAACTACGCCTTTTTTTTTTTCTCTCTTTAACAAGGCTGATTGATTATTGGGAAGGAATTTTATCACCTTTTAACAAAAAACAAATGAAAAGATTGGGGGGAATAGTAGCTTTGCTTCTTGAACTTGAGAAAACGCCTCCCTTGGGGCTCCTGGCTGGCTCAGTTGGTAGAACGTGCAAGTTTTGATCTTGGGGTTGTGAGTTCGAGCCCCACGTTGGGTGTGGAGACTACTAAAAAAAAAAGAAAGAAGGAAGATGGCTCACTCGCCTAGAACACTTACTGGTCGTCGTTTATCGGGGACCGGAGAAGTTGTGGCCGCGAGAACTAAGGGCACACCGTGGGCGCCGCTGTCCGGACCGGCCGCGTGGCCTGGGTCACAGGCTGCAGGGCGCTGGTGCTCACCTCGCTGTCATTTGTGTGCAGGTTGGTGGCGGTGGCTCTTCTGTACCTGGAGCAGGAAGACGCTTTCTGGTGTCTCGTTACCATAGTGGAGGTGTTCATGCCGCGAGACTATTACACAAAGACGCTGCTGGGGTCCCAGGTACGTGTAGACATACTGCGCCTCAGTCAGCAACGTGGGGAGTTCGAGCTGAGACAGGACCGAACTAAGCCTTGGGGGGGTTCCTGCTCACAGCTTCAGCCCCTGAGCCCTGTGGCGGGTGCAAAAGGCAGGGCATGCCGCGGACCCTCGGCTGGGCTGAGCGTGAGCCGGCGGGGCGGGCTGGCGGTTACACGCTGTGAGGAGTGGACCAGACCCGCAGCCCTGCTGTTCATGGTGGCTGTTCTGCTGTCCCCCCGCCCCCGGGCTCCGCTGTCCCTCCCCCCCAACTCCGGGCTCTGCTTCCTGCCCCACCTGGGCTCCGCTGTTTCCCCCCCGCCGGGCTCCACTGCCCCCCACACCCGGCTCCGCTGTTCCCCCCTGCCAGGTTCTGCTGTCACCCCCGGGTCTCCTCCCCCAGGCTCCGCTGTCTCCCCCCCCCCCCCGGGCTCTGCTGTCCCCCCCGCCCCAGGCTCCACTGCCCCTTCCCGGGCTCCCACTGCCCCCCACACCCGGCTCTGCTATCTCTCCTCCGGGCTCCGCTGTCCCCCCTCGGGCTCTGCTGTCCCCCCCCGGGCTCTGCTGTCCCCCCAACCCCGGGCTCCGCTGTCCCCCCCGCCGGGCTCCGCTGTCCCCCCCCACTGCCCAGGCTCAGCTGTCTGTTTCTCCCTCCTCCTCCCCCCGGGCTCAGCTGTTTCTCCACCCCCCACCCCCCCCCCGCCCTGGGATCAGCTGTTCCCTGGACACAGCTGTCTGCAGGGGCAGCTAAGTTGCGGTCCAGGAATGTCTAGGAACCTGGTGTGTCGGCTCAGGTTCTCCAAGAAGCTGAGCCAAGGCAGGAGTCAACGAGCCAGAGATTTCTGAGGGGAGGCACCTGCAAAGGATGAGGGGTGGGAACGGGGAGGCTGGGGGAATCCCCAGACCAGGGAAAGGAAGGAGGCGTGGGTGGGACGGATCTCCGAGGAAGTTTTGGCCAGGCCGGTGGGGAGTGCGCAAGCTGGGGCTGCCTGTTACAGGCACGCGTCTCGTGGGAACGGGCCATGTCGGGGCCTGCCGTGGTCACTTCCTGGCTGGGAGCAGCCGGAGGTAGTGCTGGACCCAGAGGGACAGCCTGGGGGCCACAGTCACCTCCCCAGCAGGAGATGTGAGCGCACAGCTCATGTCCACTGCACCTGGAGCCCAAAGCCAGGGCCGGGCAGGGCGATGTGGGCGGGGAGAGCCCGGGGTTGTCCCCACGTGGGCAGTCCTGGCTCTGGACCAACCCCTTGGGCCCAGGCCAGGGCTCCCCTGGGCCAGGCTGGGGCCGCTGCCCGGCTGGCAACCCTGCTCATGGGCCTGACCCTCCCGGCCTTGCGCTGCCGGCGTAAACCCACCAAGGGACCAGCAGGGGGCAGGAGGGAAGTGCAGGTAGTTCTCGGCCCATCACGGGCACTGCCTGCCCACGGCCTTGACTCCTCCCTGGCCAGCTCCTGTCTGGCAGGCCCCCCATGCTGGGGGGACCTCCCTGCTCCAGCCTGGGGCGGCTTCCTGCCCTCGCCTCTGGGCCACCTCACCATCAGCCGCGTGGCTTCTCGGCTCTTCTGTCCTCATGTGACCGGTCCCTGCACAAAATCCCTCTGTCATACACATTTAGGGTGGCGTCTGTTTGCCTGGCTGGGCCCTGAGTTCTGCTGTGTATTTGTATCTCTCATCGTGGCCTCCGTTACCGCCTGCCCCCCGCGCCCCAGCCTGGACTCGTCCTCATGCCTCTCCCTCTGCAGCCCTGTGGTCACTGCCACCTGCCTGGCGGCTCGAGTACCTGCTTCCCCACTGACCCCCATCAGGGCACCGTTGCCTCCCCTTGTCACTCATGGGGTCCCCTGCTGGAAGCACAGACTGCCCCAGGACAGAACACTTGCTCCCGGTTGTGCCCTATTCTCTGTGTGGAGCTAACTCCCTCCGCAGGTCACCGTCCCCCCCTCCCCCCCCGCCTCCCTAGAGAGCTTCTGCCCGGCCCGGGCTCTGAGTGCCCCGTCCTCTGTGCCCCACGCCGCCCTGAGCCCACTGCCATTCCTGCCACTCTGGGGACGGGGAGCCTGCTTGTCCCGCAGCTGGTCAGCGGCCATGACCTTCCTTCCAGGATCACCGGCCGCCGCGTGGCGAGTGGCTGAGCGCCGTGCGCGCTCCAGCCGGGACAGGGAGGGCTGACACTCGGCACCAGCCCAGCCCATACTGGCGGCTGCACAAAACCATCCCAGTGAAGGCATCATTGTCCCCATTGTACTCGGGGTCGGAGACACGAAGCAGCTCTCCTGAGGTGCCCCCACCATGGGCCCAGGCCGGGGGCTGGGCTCTGGGCCGTGTCCCAGCGTCAAGGTGCCGAATGATCCCAGGACAGGCTCAGCTGGTCTCCCTGTGACCATGTCACTTTGCTACGTTACCTAGAGGCTCTTCTCGTCAGAATATTTTGTAAACTAGGAAATGAGCTGTGGGAAGAGGCAGCAGTCACTGTCTGGTGGGAGTGAGGAGGCTAGTAAGTTAAGTTCTGGGTGTCACGGACACCTGGGAGCTAAGAGCTTTACAGACACAATTTCAGATGACTGTGTTTCAGAGTAAGAAGAATGAGGTCTTCATCCGTCTTAAATCCACTGAACCAGGCCCTCCCGCCTACGAGCCGTGGAGGTTGGCCGCCTCACTCCACATCCCCGCGCCTCAGCTTCCCCAGCTGGAAGACCAGCATCACACTCCCCTCGTACAAGTGCTCCAGTTTGAAATTAGGTGCATTACGAGCTTATCCTAATGCTTGGATCGTAAAAACTCAATAAAACGCAGAAGGGGAAAGCCTATTTTAAGCATGTGGGTTTAAGATAAAATTTGCATCACGTTGTCACATAAACACAATTGTAAAGTCCGAGGAGATAGATTTCTCCGTGACAATAAATGTCGTGGCTGCTCACGAAGGCGCGGTTATTACGGAATACGAGATGTTCGGAAGAAAATGAAAATCTTGCGTTATTCTACCCACACTCGAGACCACTGTTGGCATTTTGATATCTTTCCTTTTTGCCTTTTTCCCCCCAAATACATTTTAGGTATTCACGTTGGGGGCAAGACGTGTCCTAGCTGGTTCACACGCTAGCTCGAGCGTCTTCCCATGTCATTCTGTGCTTTTTCACCGCCATGTTTGGTGGCCGTCACTCTCCATCGGGTGAATGCATGTGACGAGTGTTCTCTCCTGCGGTGGGCTCCGTGTAAGGCCATACTGGGAGTGGGGGCAGCCGTGTGTGGCCAGCCCCCAGCCCCGTGCTTCATGAATCCCTGTCGAACTGCCACCACGGGCCAGATGTTCGCAGCCTCTCCGTGTGTTCATCAGCTGAGTCCACGTTGTGTGCCAGGACCTTGGTGGGCACTGAGGATACCATCCTCCCACGTCCTCCTGACCTCGGCGGGGTGGGGGCTGAACAGAGGCCTGAGGGTCGTTCCCAGCAGGCTACTCCGCGCCGGGCCTCCTGAACCAGGCACCACCGGCCACCTGATTGGGAGGGCCCAGGGCATGGCTCTACTCCCGCTTTGGGGTCAGCTTGCTTGCCCTTCCTCTGCAGACGGAATCCCGCTGCTGTCCCTCGTCCTGCGGCCCGCTGTCCATCCCCCTTGCCCATGCACAGCCCCTACATCTTTCCAGCACTGGCCAGAGCCAGGTGCAGAGTGTGTGCGGTTCAGGGGCCATCAGGCGTCCAGGCACCTCCTCTAGTGGGTGATGCTGACCCTGCCTGGTGACAGGAGCGGGGTTCCCGGGGAGACGGACCCCGGGGATGTGTGCCCCGCCGGACAGTCATCCGGCTTGCCCTGTGGGACTTTGTGCAGCTTTCCTGGGGGGCGCGGTGCGGGGGGGAGGGGGCGGCTAGGGACGCTTTAAAGGCGGCTTATGTGCTTTTGTCTGTTGGGTCTTTAAGGAATATTCATTATAATTCAACCAGTTTACATCTTTGAAACTTTGTTTTTTGCTTTAGTTAGAAGGCAAATTAGCTAAAATGTATGTTTCCAACATGATTCCTGTATTTTGTTGTCTTTTTTGCACTGAGAAGAATTTAACTCTTTAGAACCATTTTTTTGTAAAAAAACAATGTTTTTAGCATTTTGTTATTTTGTGTTTTAAGTTTTACAATTTCAACCAGTAATGCCTACTTGAATCTAACCACGCCCTTTAAAAAAAAAATACCTTTTTGTTTGTTAAGGCTTCTGTGATAAAGAGAAAGCAAAACTTCCAAAAAGAAGGAACTGTGGGCTTTTTTAAAGTTTAAGATTTTCCTAAAAAAAAAGAACCTTTTTAAAATGTCATTTTAGGGCGCCTGGGTGGCTCAGTTGGTTGGGCGACTGCCTTCGGCTCAGGTCATGATCCTGGAGTCCCGGGATCGAGTCCCGCATCGGGCTCCCTGCTCGGCGGGGAGTCTGCTTCTCCCTCTGCCCCTCCCCCTCTCATGCTCTCTCTCTCTCTCAAATAAATAAATAAAATCTTTAAAAAAAAATAAAAAATAAAAAAAAAATAAAATAAAATGTCATTTTAGGGAGCGCCTGGGTGGCTCAGTCGTTAAGCGTCTGCCTTCGGCTCGGGTCATGATCTCAGGGTCCTGGGATCGAGCCCTGCATTGGGCTCCCTGCTCCGTGGGAAGCCTGCTTCTCCCTCTCCCACTCCCCCTGCTTGCGTTCCCTCTCTCACTGTCTCTGTCTGTCAAATAAATAAAATCTTTAAAAAAATAAATAAATGTCATTTTAGGGGCGCTTGGGGTGGCTCAGCTGGTTGAGCTCTGACTCTTGATCTCAGCTCAGGTCATGATCTCAGGGTCATGAGTTCGAGCCCCGTGTTGGGCTCCACGCTAGGTGTGGAGGTTACTTTTAAAAAGTGTGGTTTGGGCGCCTGGGTGGCTCAGTTGGTTAAGCGACTGCCTTCGGCTCAGGTCATGATCCTGGAGTCCCTGGATCGAGTCCCGCATCGGGCTCCCTGCTCGGCAGGGAGTCTGTTTCTCCCTCTGACCCTCCTCCCTCTCATGCTCTCTCTCATTCTCTCTCTCTCAAATAAATAAATAAAATCTTAAAAAAAAAAAAAATGTGGTTTTAGCGTGTGTATGCAGACTGTTTCTAGTTATCTCAGACTTCCAGTAATCCCAGGAATCAGTGCACTCTTCATCCCAGCTTGCCTGGTGTGCAGTTGAGAGTTGGTGCCGGTTTCTCTGGGATCGACTCCGAGGAGCCGTGTGGGGGCCCCGCGCTTTGCAGGCGCGTCTGGGCTGCTCTCCGGGTGGTTCTGCCGACGTGGCTCCAGCAGCGCGTGGCTTCCTGTGTGGTGGTCTCGGGGCTCACGGAGCGTTGGGGGCTCCTGACGAGGGTCATACCGTCCCCGCATGGCGGGCTCTTCCTCGCTGGTGTTTCGCACGCGTGGTGTGCTGTCCTCAGCGGCCCTGGCTGGCACCTGTCCGGCCCCGGGAGCGCTACCAACACCCCTCACCGGGGCCCTGACCACAGCTGACCCGACAGGCCAGGCTTCTGGCTCCCCCGCGCAGCTTTTCGCTCCTCCGGGGAAGCGGAGGGACGCCTGTGCCCAGCAGAGCACCGTGGCCGATGTGGGGAGAGGAGGGCCAGAGCTCCTAGTTGGATGGTGGTTTGCACGTGGCTTGTGGTACCCCCACGGCAGCCGTGGGAGAGCGGGGAGATGTGCCCCAGGCACGCCGTGTGTAGGAGGTGGGGCCGCACCGTGGACCCTGGAGGTCACGCCCCCTCGCACGCCCACACCCGGGAGGCGTCTGTGGGACAGACGTGGTGATGTCGCACCCCTTGTTGGGCCCCGGCCTCGGCTTCCGCCCCCGTAGCCCTGGATTGCGAGCGGGCAGCTAGGCTGACTCTTGCCCAGCTCTTTGTGGCCTCTTGTTGGGCGGCGCGAGGACAGGAGTGCGTTTCCGGCCGAGGCGCTCCAGGCATGCGGGACAGCAGTGCCCGCGGCGCACCTACCCCACGCCCTTCCCCTCTGCTCCCCTGCAGGTGGACCAGCGGGTGTTCAGAGACCTCATGAGCGAGAAGCTGCCTCGGCTGCACACGCATCTGGAACAGTACGGCGTCGACTACACCCTGATCACGTTCAACTGGTTTCTGGTGGTGTTTGTGGACAGCGTCGTCAGCGACATCCTCTTCAAGATCTGGGACTCTTTCCTTTACGAGGGACCAAAGGTGGGTCCGCTCGCTGGGTGACTGGGCACGCTGCTGGTGGCAAGTGGCCAGCTCACCGGGGACGTGGTGGGCCGCCGTGGGAGGGCCTGGGGCGCGGGAGGCCGCTGCCCGGGCAGCCCCGAGCAGAGGGCCTCTCTGCTGACGGACGTCCCCGTGCTGTCCGCAGGTCATTTTCCGGTTTGCCCTGGCGCTTTTCAAATACAAGGAGGAGGAGATCCTGAAGCTGCAGGACTCGATGTCCATATTCAAGTATCTCCGCTACTTCACTCGCACGATCCTCGACGCCAGGTGAGTCCTCGGGCGGGGATCCCAGCTGCCCCTGCTCCACGGAGAGCAGCCTTCCCGGGTGTATGGTGTGCGAGCGAGGGGTGGGAGAGGCTCTGGACACCCGGTGGCCTCCACCGACGAGGGGGAACCAGGATGGAGGACAGCTTGTCCTTAATCCAACCAGTGTGCATCCCACAGGCCGGTTTGTTTGTGTTCAGCAAGTGTTTCCTGAGCTTTCCCGGCGTGGCAGGCCGTCCGTCAGGCACTGAGGGTGACGGGGGAGGGACAGGCCCTGACAGGAAGAACCCGAGGGGAGATGGATGGCCTGATGGGCTGGGTGCTGCCGTGGGGGAAGCCCAGGATGGGGCAGGTGGGGGGCAAGGCGGGGTGAGCGGGGCTGGGTGGGGGCACCTGGGAGAGGGTGTCCTGGGCCCAGGGAGCTGAAGCAGCAGTGGGGACGTGAGATGCAGTGTGTCTGGGGCCGTGGAAGTAGCTCGGCCTAGGCGGCCGGGCGGGAGCAGAGCGGGACTGGGCCTCATCGCTGGGGTGTCGGGGAGACAAGAGGAGGGCTGGCAGCGGGGAGGAGGCCAGGGGATCGGGGTGGCCTGGGGCAGGGTGCGAGGTGCCCCCAGAGAGGGAGGAGGGGCAAACTGGAGGGCAGGAGAGGAAGTGGACCTGGGAAGACCCAGGACTTTGGGCCGGGCATCGCGTGTGGGGGGAACATCTCCGTGCCCCCCCACAGGCCACACAGTGTCGCCTGTTCCAGGCCATTGTCTTGCATGTGCCCTGACGGCGGCTGGCGGCTGTTCTGGCCACGCTCCCACAGGGGCTCCCACGGACCTGCCGCTGGTTGGGCGGGGGAGGAACGTCTGGGGCTTGTATATGCTTTCAAAATTTTTTTTATATATATTTTTATGTATTTTATATATATTATATATATTTTTTATATATATATTTTATTTATTTATTTGAGAGTGAGCACAAGCAGGGAAGAGGGAGAAGCAGACTCCCCGCTGAGCATGGTGCCTGATGCGAGACTCGATCCCAGGACCCTGGGATCATGACCTGAGCCGAAGGCAGACGCTTAACCCACTGAGCCACCAGGCGCCCCACTTTCAAACTTTTTGGACTGTAGCTCATAGGAAGGCTGCTTTGTCTCAGACCTGGGATGCCCGTTCTGGAGTGTGTAGAAATGAAACAATTTGTTGAAATGTTTGTGGTTCTTGCTAAAGGTCTGTGTTAGATATTGAGGTTTTTGATTCCCTTTCGGTTATGAAATGCTTGTTGCGACTCCCCACGCAGACTCCTCCATCCACTGATGTGTCACAACCTGCTTCCAACCCCCGGGGCCCCTGGTAAGTGGACAGGCGCCCCTCTCCTGGGCCGGCCCGTGAGACGCCCAGGGCAGAATCCAGGCCTCCCAGCTGCAGGGCGCCAGTGTGGGGGTGAGCCCGGCTGCGGGTGGGACCTGGGGCAGGAGCTGGGCTGAGGCCCCCGGGGGACGGGACACTGGGAGCAGAAGGGGCTGACGGAGGCCACACCTGACTCCCAGGAGTCATCGCTATTTTTAGGGCCTCCCGCTTGGGAAGTGGATTTGTAGGGTATATTCAGGCGTCCTGAGGTGCCTGCAGCAGTGACCTAAGCCTCACCACGTGGAGCCTGAGGGTAACGTTGGCCAGTGAGAGTCTGGGGTGAACCTCCAGGGCGTCCGCCGACCTCGCACGAGGTCAAGGTTGAGAAGGGCTTGGCAGCGGGGATGTGGGCATGGCTGGCCCCTTGTCAGTGGCTCTGGGGCAGCTGCCCGGCCGTTGGCTTCAGGAAGTCAGGGTCCACCCTGGGACCCGGGTTTGCAGATACGTGATGGCCCAGACCCCAGGGTTTTAATAAGCTCCCCAGACCAGTGGTTCCGGATAAGTAAGCTCTTCTATGAGGAAGGAGGGAGAGGCGGTGGAGTTGGCACGTGTTCAGGGCATGTCGGGTTAACAGGATTAAACCAGTCTCGAGTCAGGGCTCCTGGGTGTTCAGCCTTAGCCGACCACGGGACCCGCTGGGGCTCCTGACCAGGCCTGCAGGGCAGCGTCCTGCTGTGCTCGCGGGGTGGCCGGCCGCGGCAACACTGGCCCACCGAGGACTTCGGGGCTTTCTGTGTTTGCCTCCTGCAGCGAAGTGGGGGCTGGACACCCGGTCTCGGGGGGCGTGCAGCCTGGGGCTAACAGCTTTGGGAAGGGGCCGGGCGCATGGGCCTGGGTCCCAGGTCCTGGCTGGCACTTCCACTCTGCTCGGGCTGGCCCTGTTCTCCCGCACGCCCGTGTTCTAGAACACTCCGGAATGCGGCCTCTGAAGCTGGCCTCTCTGACCTTCGCCCTCCTGCGGGAGAATGCCTCGGAGTCAGGCTGCATGTAGGGGTGTGAGAAGTCGCCGGCTGACGTCAGGCCAGGTGGCAGCCCTAGCTGCCGGCAGGGGGCCCCGGATAGTGCCAACGTCATCGCAGCTGCTCCTGGGGGCTGGAGGGAAGAGAAGCCACCGGGCCGGCCGAATCGGGGGCAGGCCCCTTGATGCTGGAGGAACCCACTTCTGTTTTCGCCCCCCGGCGGCCACAGCTGACCCAGTCAGTGCTGGAACCCCTAGCCAGGCCTCGGGGCACGTCCTGGCTCTATTTTTGTCAAACTGCTGGTCAGAGACCAGGGCAGGTTAGCGGGGTCGGTGCATGGACCCGCGGACGGTGGGAAACCCATCGAGTGCCCATCGTCTATAGACCACGTCCGGCCCTTGTGCGGCGGGCTGGGTCTGACCGTTGCCGCCAGGTGGACTCCTTGCCCGTCAGTCCCAGGAGGCCTGAACCAGCCTCCTGCCGGTCCCGCTCAGGCACGCCGGCCCTCGGTCGCCCAGCACATGCCAGGCGCTGTTCTGTCCTCACGGGGACCGCGCTGGTAACCCCACACCCCAGGAGGTGGCACTGCGGTCCTCCAAACATACAGGGAATCAGAAGCCAGAAAGGGAAGGACCCTCACCTCACCCGCCCCACGACACACAGCGAGCGTGGGCCTCCATCCAGGCGGTGGCTCAGGGCCAGCCCCGTAGCCTCTGCATGAGGGGGGCTGGTCTCCAGCTGACACACATGCCCCAGGCCCCGTCCCACGTCCTGCCCTACTGACCTCTGTCCCCATCCTCTGTCCCGCCAGGAAGCTGATCAGTATCTCCTTCGGGGACCTGAACCCATTCCCCCTGCGTCAGATCCGGAACCGGCGTGCCTACCACTTGGAGAAGGTGCGGCTGGAGCTGACAGAGCTGGAGGCCATCCGGGAGGACTTCCTGCGTGAGCGGGACACCAGCCCCGATAAGGGCGAGCTGGTCAGCGATGAAGAGGAGGACACCTGAGTGCCCCCCACCCCATGACACTGCTCTTGTCTTCACAACCAAAGCATGCCAAAAGGATACACAGCAGAGGGGCCTCTGCTCATCGGAAAGCCCGAATGTAATGCCCGTGGTCTCTGGAGGTCTGCTGGGCGGACGTCCATGGCCACACTGCACTTCCTCATTTCCACGCGGGCTGGGGTCTGCTCCGTGTACAGCCATCTCCGGGCCGTGGTGGGCGGTGTCCGTGTCCCGTGTGACCCGTGCACCCCCAGGGGAACCGGCTGGCTGTTGTCGAGCCTGTTGACAGCATCTGTCTGGGTTCTGTGGTTGGCTTGCACCCTGGCGTCTCCCCGTGACGCCCCCTAGCCAGAGCGTGGCTGCTTTGGGTGGCGTGAGGTGAGCGAAGCAAGTGCATCTGTGTTCAGAAACAGCCTGGAGAAATCCCACACCTTCCGTGCCAGGCGAACCACCGGCCGTGCCCCATCTCTGGACTAGCTTGGGGGGCCTGGCCCTCCGGACACCCCACGCCCCCAGCCCACGCTCCGCCTGGCACGGCTCCGTGAGGTTCTGTGCTCTCGCCTCTCAGGGAGTGGCTTGTGGAATCACTCTGCGTAGGGGTAGGAGTCCACAGAAGCTGTGGACCGCCGTCCTGTAAAGCAGGCCCACCTCGGGGGCAGGCCTTGGCGGAGACAGAGGCGGCTTCTGGGACGCCTTACGGGGCAGCGGGGCGAGTGCAGGGTGACGCTGTCAGCCAGGACTCCGGGGGCCTCCCCCACCTGCTGGGATGGCGGGGAGGCCGGCTGCCAGTGCCTTTGCTTGGGACCCAGCTTTGGTGAGCTGTCCCATTCAGGGTCCCTCCCCAGTGCTGCCCAGAGGCATCCGCGTCCTGGCAGCCGGCCTCCCCCTCCCTGGGGTCAGCGTAGTCCTGGCTGTAGGGTCACCACCACCTCCAGCAGGTCAGGCTGCCCACGCCGTTCTGCGGACTGGGAGCGCTCTTTTTGAAGCTCTGCTGAGAGGCTTTGCGCAGGGAAGGTTGACTTTGCTTCATCGCTCCGCGGACCATCCCTGCTCCACGTGTGGATGCAAGAGTTTCCTGGCACAGCGTTATCCAAATAGGAAAGAAACCATTTCACACGGAATTTTTACACTACCTGGAGAAATTGGAAGTAACCCCCAGCTGAAACGTATCAGACACAGCCCAAGCATTGAAGGAGTCCCCTGAGGAAGTGCATTTTCTAAGGACAGATGTTCCGTCTCGGTCCGTGTTTATCGGTGTCCCGGCTGGGTGGGTGTCCCCACATACCACACCGCGTCAGCTTTCGTGTTGTGAGGTTGGTTAGCCTGATCTTTCAGATGGCAGACGCGGCGGGGGGGTGGATGGCTGCTGGAGGTCGGCCTTAGCACGCGGCCCCACTGCCCTCCGCGGACCCCTCACCGGCTGGGGGACAGCAGTGAGGAGGCGCAGTAGGGTCAGGCTCTAGCTTCCAAGTTGACCTCCCCAGAACTGCCACATCCTGGGGAGAAAATGCTGCCTTTTGGAACAGGCTGGTTATGTCAGTTTTGCCCCAAAAAGATGTATCTTAAAAGCACCTGGATCGGGCCCAGGCGCCTGCTGGGTGTGGCTGGAGCCGTGGTTTCGGGGAGTGGCCAGCCGCGCCGTGTTGGTGTCCGCAGGCGGCTGTCCGTGCCCGGGCAGTGGCCGTGAGAGCAGGGCGGTCGTGGGGGGCGTGGACGGGGGGCACCTTCCCGGAGGCCGCCCTGTCTCTGGGCGTGCAGAGGGCGGCAGGGGTGCTTGGCCTGGCCCGGACTGGGCAGGGTGCCGAGCCGCAGGCCGTGCCCACGGCCAAGGGCAGCTACCAGCTCGCACGGGGACGGGTTTTGTGTCTTACGGGCTGAACATCTGTTAATACTTTTGTATATTTTTCACTACAGTTTATATTTTTATAGACTATTTTTATCAAGGGTTTTTCAATTATGTACATCTATTTTATATAACGAGTTCTTTGTGCGCGGCTGTGTGTGATCGCGAGAACTCGAGCGGCCTGGGTCGCTCCTGGCTCCCGGGCCATCTGGGGCCCCCGGGCTTGCGTGCACCCGCATGGCCTCCCGCGGCCTGTGGTCACGCGCGCCGCCGCCGTCCCACAGCAGCCAGGGCCCCCGGGGCTGGAACGAGTCTGCCTTCCTCCCACACTGTATCCATATAGGAAGTATTCTAGGCGAATCGCCAGTGCATTTTTTTTTTAAATTGTTTGTATTCTTGCACAGATCCCCACCCTGGCTTTGTGCGGGGCTGTCCTCCTGCACGTGCCCTGGGCAGATGGGCCCCACACGGGGCAGCCCCTGCAGGCGGGAGGCTGGCTGCCGCCTCGGGGGGCTGTGTGGGGGGCAGTGCCTGGTGACTTCCCCTGATGTCACTGCGGCTTCTCGGCTTGAGTTAAATTCTGGAACAGTCTTTATACTAAAAAGCCAAATAAACTACTAATTTGTATAATGTTCTGGTTTGAGATGCCGTTACAGTTGCTCACGACAGGGCTCACCCCCAGGGTTCAGAGGGGTACAGGACTTCGGTGGGGGGCTCCGAACTGCCAGCCAGCTCTTTTTAGGTCCACGTTCTTGGTTTGCCCTGGGGTGTGTGGGACAGGGTGCCTCCGTCGACCATGCAGCCCTGGGAGCCGAAGTCAAGCCGCAGGTGAATGGGGGGGCACCGAGGTGAGCGCTTCGGGGTCCCAGGCCTCAGCCAGGAGCTGCAGCAGCTCCCCCCGCCCCACCCCAGCTGCAGCGTGCCCTGCCTGAGTCATGGGCTGTTTGCCTCCTGTCTGGGCTGACTGCTCCAGCCCAGCTGCCACTGGGGTCACCATCCCCTCACCCCCTGTCGTCGGAAAAACACGAGAATGATTAAGACCAAATGTCTTTACACGGTGTGGGGGAGGGGGCTCCAGGGAGGATTCCCAGCGCGAGCAGATAAGGGTCTGCTGAGCCCGTTTCCTCCTGGGACAGACTCGGTGAGGCCGGGGGTGCCTGAGGTCACAGCAGTGGTGAGCCAGGACTGGGACCCACATGCTCGGTGTGGGTCAGGGCCCAGAGGCAGAGGCCCCGTTCCTTGGAAGGGCTGCTGCCAGGACAGCATGAGCCCCGGGAAGCGGTTTCGGAGTGTGGGTCCCCAGGGCCTCCTCGGGCCACGGAGCTGTTTCAAACACAGGAAGGAAGGCTGATGCCCCCGCACCCCCCGACGGCGCAGTGATCCTGGGACTCTCGCAAGCCCCGGTGACTCGCTTTCCTGAGTGACCTCAGCCCCGCCTGCCTCTGCGTGAGCCACCATGGGGCCTGCCTGGAGCCGTCTTCCTGCCAGGTCAGAGGGCTCAGCGCCGGGTGAGAGGGGACCTCCAGGACAGCGTGGCCAGGGCCTCGGGCCCCAGGCCAGACCCACGCAGGGCCCTGGACTGCTCGGGCCCCGGGGAGCGTGTTACTGAAAGGGGTTTGGTGTGTGAGTGAGAGTGGGAAGCTGGAGAGCAGCTCTGCCTTCCACCCCTTCCAGGCAGGGACCGGCCCGGGGACAGATGCTTGCGGACGGCTTTGGCCTCTGCTGTGTTTTCTTCTTCTCGGTCCCCAGGGTGTGACTTTCAGTGATCCCCTCCCACCGAGCCACAAGTAGCCACGTGGCCCTCATCCCACTACACAACTCAAGAACCACCATGCACGTTACAGGCTGTGTCCCCTGCGGGTGTCCGCGGGGTGGGGGCCTGGGCCTCTCTGACCCTCCGTGTCCCCCATTTGGAGAAGGGGGATTCCACCTTCCAGGAGTAGCCCTGGGGAGCAGGCTCTGAAAGACATGGCTGCTTCCCGGAGGAGGGGCTGGGCCTGGCAGGGTCACGGCTAGCCTGGCTGGAGCCCGGGACCCCCTTGGAGCACCTGCTGCCCATCTGCTGCCCACTGTGTTCACCGGCTGGCTCCACGGACGTAGGCTTGGCAGGCAGGACGGGGCTGTGGTGGGCAGGGGCTAGGTCGCACCTGGGCCTGGCAGGGGGACAGGAGCCAGCTGCAACCAGCCCAGCCATCTCTGAACACGGAGCCCATGTCGGGAAGGGACAAGTGGGGGCCAGGACGGGGGTGGCCGTCCGCGCCTACCTGCACCCCCATCACCCCTGGGGGTCACCAGCTCCACTGATCCTCCTCCCCTTTGGTGCAGGTGAGTTAACGGGGTGCTGGAGCGCTCAGCGCCATCCCCTGGGGGCAGTCCCTGCTGGAGGCAAGGGCCTTGGTGCCCGAGGTGGGGTGAGATCCAGTCACCACGAACCCACAGGTCTCAGGCCCTGGAGTGGGGACGTGGGGGGTGCAGAAGGAGCGTGGCTGGGACCAGCACCCCCCGCCCCTCATCTGCAGCCTGCCGAGGACAGCGGACTCCTCCTCGAGGAGCATGTGAGGAGGATGGAGGGCAGGAGATCGGGTCTGAAATTCCCCCAATGCAAGAGCAAACCAAGCTGCACGTTGAAACTGTAGGTGCTCATTTATGTATAATAATAAAGGTTATGCAAACCGTTGAAATAAAAAAATACCTTTTCTTAGGGGAGGGGGCCCCAGCCCGCCACCAGCAGGCCAGGTTAGCACCTTCGGGGTGCAGCCCGCAGTCGGGCGTGAGGTCCGTGGGTCCGGGTGGGGCGGGTCAGCGACCCCTGCAGCCTGGCCCGGCTGGGGTGGCTCAGCGGCGGGCGAGGCGCTGATGGCCGCGGGAGGGGGCTCCGTGGCCCAGAGGGGGGCAGGAGTGGCAGCACTGGGTGTGGACGGCAGGCAACTGGCATCGGCCCAGCAGACGCAGGGTCTCACAGAAGCCGAAGGGCAGGCGGTCCCGCTCACAGCCTGCGGCAGGGCGGCAGGGGGTGGGGGGCCCTCAGGATGGAGCCCGCACCTGCACCCCCCAGGGGGCTGCCCGCCACCCCAGGGCCTCAGGTCCCCAGTTGTTGCTAGCCTTGTCCCACCTGCCCACCCAGGTCTCTGGGGAACCAGCCTGGCTGCACTCTGCTTTCCAGAGGAAGGGCGTGGGGACCCCCACCCTTGACCACCTCAAGTGCTCACGGGAAACCAAAGAGCCTGCCACCCCTCCCATGCCTGCTGACCCTCGGTGCCCCCGACAGGTCCTGGTGTCAACGGAGGCCCCCTGTGCCTCCTGCCCGCCTGCAGTGGAATCGGCCCCCTGACCCTGACACCTGTCCTGCCAGGTCTCCCTGACCCCCTGCAGCCACCTGGGTTGGACTCGGCCTCAGCTTCCGGGTCACAGAGTCCCATCGGGCCAGGCCCCGAGGCCCAGGGAGAGCAGGTGGGACCCGGGCCCTGTGGCCTGGGTACAACCCAGGCCTCCTGAGGAGGGACGGAGGAAGGCTGCAGGCGACGCGCATCCGAGGCTGAGGCTTGGCTGGCCCTCCCGCCTTGTGCTTATCGGAGCTATTTGGGGAAGCGGTTCGCTCCCCGCCGCCTGGCCGTGCTCCCGCTGCCGCGGCCAGCCCCCAGCTGCCCAGCAGACGTCCCGGGGCAGGAGGAGGGAAGGGCGGTGGACGGCCGCGGGCCTGGGACATCCCCCTGGGCCCAGCAGAGGGGAGGAGGCCACAGCTCTGAGCTGCACATCGGCGGGCCTGCATCCTGTCTGCATGGGGTGACCTCATGCAAGCTTCTTAACCCTGGGCCGGCGGGGGGGCGGCCCAGTTCCCTCCTCTGTCCATACCCCCCACCTCCGCAAGTGGATGTGGGTCATGCTAGGTCAGCTGCTCGCCGTGGTGACCGCACACCCTGGAGTTTCCAGGCTTTCTAAATGTCTTGCCACGCAGCCCCACAAACCATCAAAACATCCTGGGGCTCCAGGATCTTGGCATCCAAGTCACCTCCCCACACCGGCCTCCCCCCCGAACGCCTGACTGGGGACGGCTGGTGGTTCAGCCACCTAACCCCCCCACCCAGCCCCTGCCTGCGGTCCACCCGACCCCCCAGAGCCCTGGCCTCAGTTCCCAGCAGACACCACAGCCGCCCGAGCCCCCATGGCCCTGAGCCCAGTGTGAGGGGCAGTGAGGGGCCGGGGCCGGCCTCCACGTGGAGGCAGGTGCTGTGGAGGCTGCGGCCGGAGATCTGACGGGCGGGGCCCTGGGGCCATGGGATTGCAGGAGGCCCGGGCAGCACGGTGTGGCACCCGCTACTGTGGGCCTGGACCGGGGCTGCCCAGAACCAGCCACTGTCGAGAAGGCAGGTGAGGGGGGGTCCCCGAGGCGCTGATGGCCAGTCCAAGGAGCGCAGGCTGTCCTCGGGGCAGGGGGCAGCGGCTGAGAGGCAGAGAAGCTGCTGGGGCCTCCCTACTGACACGGGGCCCTGGGCTCTCTTCCTGACCTCACAGCGGCTGACCGCGTCGACGCAGTGACCACCTTCCCCCCAGCACCTCGCTTCTGCTCTCCCCACCCCTCCGCAGGCTCCGGAAGGGGAGGCCCAGACAGGGAAACGGCCAAGGCCACCCAGCTGGGAGGGGGCCCAGGTGTGACTGCAGGGCCAGCTTCCCGTGCTCAGCACGGCCGGGGAGGCCTGGGTCCACGGCCACCTCTGGCTCGGGTGCTTCCTCCAGGAGGACACAGCTGGCCGGAAGCAGCCAGCCGGACCCTGGCACGGAGGCCGTTTCCTGCGGCCGCAGTGCACGCTCCACGCACCCCTCCTCCGGCCGGCATGGGGGTCGGGGGCTCACCCCGGCGTGGCCTCACTCGGCGGGTCACGGAGACCCAGCGGGAAGAGGAGCTTGCTCGAGGTCCCACAGCAACCTGGGGGCACATCCACTGCCTCCCCCCTTCCCGCGCCACAGAGGGGCGCCCCCGGGCCGCCGTGGGGCTGGCCTCACAGTCCTCGGTGGCTGACAGTTCGAGGATCCCGTGGCCCGCCGCCCTCCCTGCCCCGACCGCCCGCACGGCGGCGCGGACTCACGTGGCGCCTCGGTGAGCTCGCAGTCCTGGGTGCCGCACGGCCGGGAGCTCTCGGGCCAGGCCTCGTGGCTGCACTGCTCGCTGGCTCCCTCGGGCAGCCCCGTCTGGGTGTTGACGCACCGGACCAGGCGCCGCTGCACGCCCCCGCCGCAGGGGGCTGAGCACTGAGCGGAGGGCGGGGGAGGGGAGGGTCCAAGGAGCTGCACCTGCCCAGAGGCCCGGGTGCGCCCGCAGGGGTGGGGAAGCCACCAGCCCCGGACGCGGGCCGGGCTGCCAAGGGGAGGTGGCGGCACGTCCCTCCACCAGGACCCTCCATCCGAGTCAGGCTTTATCATCGATGAGGATGGGATGTTGTAAAAAGCCGAAAAATGGGGTAATCTCCGGCACCGGTGCCAGGCCGTGGGCGCAGTGTCTGCTGCCCGGCTCCGTGGACCCCGCACACCCACTTCCCCGGGTGAGAACACAGCGCCCAGAGCCGCTCAGCAGCCGGGGCGCAACCGCGGAGCTCCAGCAGGCCCGGCAGGAGGGCGTCCTGCGCCTCGCTCGCCACACCAGCCTCTGCTCCGCTCCCTAAACACTCAGTCCTTCCTTCCTGCCCCAGGACTTCCACTTGCTGTCGCCTGGCACCTCTGCTCCCAACCAGAGTCCCGCAGGCCTCACCCCTGCACCACCACCACCACGCCTCCCTGAGCCTCTGCATCCAA